TTTTTTTTTTTTTTCTGAAAGTAAGGGTTCAGGAAACACCAAAAAGTGACGATTGCAGGTTTTCTAGGGGTGAAGAGACTGTAAAGCATCTTTCTATCTTTCAGCACTTCCGCTTTAACTTAACTAAAGAGAGGAGCTGCTTGGTTACTATGGGCTATTTCTCCAGATTCTGTTTAATCCAGTTGTGATTTAATACCCCCAGTATTTGATGAGGTACAAGGTTTTTCTGCTCAGGAAGTCGCCATAATGGAAGCCACCAATATAGTGACACTCGCTACTGATCCAGAGAACAGCTAGGAGGTAGTCTGAACAGACTTTGAAGTATTATCTCCTTGAACTATGCAACTAAATATCATAAATGTAATGAACGGATCAGAAAGGTGCCTGCTTTGCTTTAGGCCCCATTACCACTAAGCGATTTAGCGCATTTTTGCCGCGCGAGATGTTGCCGACCAATGTTATTCAATGGAGCTGTCTTAGCGCCATATCGCTCTAGCAGGGCACTTTTTTCGGCGGATTTTGTGCAATTTTTTTAATGGAGCCCGATGGTGAAGGTCGCGCTACCGTCGATGGGACGTCGCGCTATCCCTGCTGCGCGGATCCGCTGCAAAAGGTATGTCGCTTAGTGTGAATGGGGCCTTACAGACTGGCAGGCAAAATGGTTCTTGTCCCAACAATGTGTTTAGTCATAAACTGTATAAGTCATTTTGAAGTCTTTAAAGTGACGCTAAATATTATAAATACAGTCATGTACATTAAAGGAGAACTATCATGTGAGTGATTTTTCGCTCCTCATAGTTAAAGCCGACCTGTGACCTTGGACCTGTGACCTTGGAGCTATCGCACAGCGACACTATAGATCGGGAAGTGAGCGAACACATACTGTCGCTCGCTCACCTCCCGATCATCTCCCTGCAGAGAGCGATGACTGTCAGTCACCTCTCCCTTCAGGGATTCCCCCTCCCCTTTTTGATCCTCCAGCGCTGACTGGAGGAACGAACGGGAGGTGGCGGGCATATGGGCAGAGCCCGCTGTCAATCAGCCAGCTTAGTGGATCTTGACAGTATTGTGGGGATCTGTCCCGACTGGGCGCTCTCACTATATAGTGGCAATAGCCTGCTATATACTGGGCTTTGGGTCATTGGAGGATGTTGGTATATGTCCTTCTATAACCCTACAGAGAACTATGGGATAGGAAGGTTACACCATAGATTTCTTTTAACTATTAACAATACTGTACCTGATTTGTGTATCAGCTGTAGATCCTCATATCATCTCTGAATTCATTCTGACACTGTCCTTTCTTCTGGAGGGTGGCTACTTTTGCTCCCTGTGGTACCTGTGTGTTGTAAAGTAGCCACCGCTCCAAGCTCACTCACAGGATGGGACTACAAACTCGCTACAAATTAGTAAACTAAACATGAGATTGTAGTCCATCACAGGAGTGAGCTTGGAGCGATGGCTACTTTACAACACACACAGGACTATGGGGAAGGAAGGACAGTGTCAGCATCAATTCAGAGATGATTTGACTATCTACAGCCGAGTGATACACAAATAAGATGCATATTTAATAGTGTTTAGTGTCACTTTATATCTACCACAGACTGGACCATTTAAACTGAAGACATGATGAATATAAAATGCATGTGCCTAGATTGCCTTCAGTAAAATCTGTATCTCTCTAAACAATTCGGAAATGGGGGCAACTGGTTTTATATGCTAAGCTTGGCAAAGCCCTCTCCTGCCTGCTGAGTTTCCCTATTGGTTTTTAAATGTGATGGCCATTGTTGCCTTTTTTGAAGGAATTGTAATTAAACATACACTGGGAAGCTAGAGTTGCTCATTGTATATCAATGCTGTGCTTCCTGCACAATGAAAAAAGGTAGAAATGAATAAAGCAGGAAACAACTTGCATGAAGAAACGGTTATAAAGGTGAACTTCTCCTGAGCAAACACATGGTAACCTTGTAGTATCTTTGCTGCCTGTTTTATTACAGTTGTCATGGTACATAATGTACAAGTGCTGGCATTTGCTACAGTACACGTTTGGGGTTGACATGGTATCGTCTCTTTAACTTCCCTTTTATGTTCTGGTTTTCAAATGCCCGCAACCCGCCACTTGATGTCACTGTCCTTCAGAAATAGATAGAACTCACGTTTCTAGTAGGGTATACATGTATATGTTTTCTTTGTACAACCTGGGGGCTGAAGGAAGAATATATAACTAATCTCCCGCTGCTTCTATTGTATTCTGATGGTGGATGCTTCAAGTTGTGTGGCCAAAGATTTCCCAACATGTTCCTTTTATCAGAAGTCAGTCTAATGAACCAACTTCTGCTGAGGGAATAGGGTCACCAAAGGAGTGAGTTTTGGCCAATTCCTGCTGAATCTGTTGCAATTTGCACCGTGTATCCGTGTATACACGGCTTTACTCATTTTATAATGTAGGTGCCTTTTTCCTTAAACTCTTATTTGACTTTACTAACTGATCTCGCATGTCTTAGGTTTCTGCTTGATTTCCAAACTGGTACATTGTTTAAAAAAAAATGTGAGTGTCTGTCAGAGTTGTCCTTAACCAGCTGTCTACAGAGAATACGAAGCACGCTTGCAGCGCTACGCAGAACGGATCTGGACATGCAAAAGTACAGGAAGCAGTCAGCTGACTCACAAGGAGGCTTGGGATGAAGAACAGGAAGTGTCAGAACTGTGAGTAGCTTTACTTTGGCTAGAGACATGTTGAAGCTGTTTTTCTAAAAGTTCTTCATAATGTGAGGGAGGATCCAACATTTTTAGCGCCCCAAGATTTCTCAAATGTCCCTTTTGTACAGTTAGTCTGAGCACACGTGCATGTGTTATGGAGATTACTATTTACATATTCTTAACAATCCTTGAAAGAGCTTTAAAGCTCTTTCAAGGCTTTCTGAGCCCCCCCCACTCAACTCTTTCTGCTTTTAATATGAAGTTATTAATTCTCAAACTTTAAAACAAATTAATTCAGTTTTTAACTGCTTAGAAACCTCTGTTTGTTTTCATTAGAAGTCTGACAAATTTAAGTTCAATTTTTATTCTTCAAAATAAAAGTATAAAAGTAAATGTTAACAAGGATAAGCTTCAGCACAAAAACCAACGTGTTACACTATTAGGATACACAATACAAGGAACAAAGGTACCACCACTGAGCAGTGAAAACCCACAGGATAGGGAGAAAAAAGCAGGGTACCAGGGAATCAATCGTCTGTGCATAAAATAATAAAGTAGGTATATCCCATGAACCCAAATAGGGCGATGCAAATAAGTGAGCAACAGAAAAGGAAAAACAGATGAGAGCAGAGAAAAAAAATAAACTTAGATCAGTAAGAAGCAAAGAGAAATGGACAAAGCTAATCCACTCCTGGTACTGTGTCTGTCTGAAGGTGGCAAAGTCTCCTACATGTTGTTAGAGCACAAGTAGGCATCTGTCAAAAGCATGAGAATGCAAAGAATGGATCCCAAAGTTGTTCAAAACGAGGGACCTGATCTGCCAGACATGCTGAGATTGTTGACAAAGATCCAAAGAAATCTACGTTTTACTTCCTCGAAGGGAAAGTGACAATTTTATCAATACCTATAGATACAAAGGGAGATGAGGGCTTGGAAGTGCTCGGGCTGGATATGCAAGTGACTAAATCTAGAAAAATGTCCTTTTCACCTGGCTGCAAGTCCAGAGAAGTCCATACAGCTGTGTAATTCTTAACCAGTCATTTCTGAAGGTAGACATTTGTTACCTCTGACTTCTTTTAGGTCTTGTATATTCATATTGTATATGGTGTTTTTCTTAAAGGCTGAAAGAAGAATTCCCCTTGTGGTATGAGAAGCAGGTCCTGGAGATGGTTCATCATAACACTGTATCTTTAGACAAGCTTGTAGACCAGTCCTGGATGGAGATCATGACCAAATATGCTATCGGTGAAGAGTGTGATGTTGAGGTATGTGACCGACATACACCTCTGAATGAAATGTATAATCATACAGCCAAATGTAAGATTTTTTAAATGTAAACTTGTATCTACATGAATACCATATTGGGGACCTTGCCATCAATATTTCTTTGGATACTGTAACAAGTTCTGAAGTGTGTGCAGTTTAAGGAGTGGAAATTTAGTACAGTCAATTTGTTCCAGATTTTTTTTTTTGGCCCCGAGTGTCTGACTTCAGCTTTGGTTTCATGAAGCCATGCTTAACTTTTTTTTTTATTTTTTTTATTTATAAAGCACAACGCACACCCATTCATTTTCAGATGTCCTTGTGTTGGCATCCGTTAAACAGATGTCAACTGATCTGGTGTGGATTGGGCCTTAATCAGTTTCAATAGATCAAACCCATTTAGGGACACTCAGAAAGCACAATGTACCTTATTGGCCCATGATCTGTTTCTTTGTTGATCAAATAATTAAGTGGGACATAAATTTAAGCACAACATTCAAAATGATTTAAAAACTGCTGTTTTGAAAGTGTGGCAGCCTAATAACCTTTGCTGTAAGCTATGAATTGAAATGTACTTCTTGGTAGTCTAATTCACTTTCTAAAAAGACATGTTGTTATAGAAATGTAACTGAGAGCTTGTACTTCAGGTTGGCCCAGAGAAATACTTGCGTGCTAAAATAGTAATGATGCATCCTCTCGAACAAGATGAGGCTGGAGCAGAAAAGAAGGCTGGGTCTTGTGATTCTCCATCCAGTGACAAGGAAAACTCCAGCCAAGTGGCACAAGATAACCAGATGAAGGAAGAGACTAACCGCCGAGACAGTTTAAATGCTCTGAGAGAAAGTAAGGATCCCTTTTTAGTGTTGTATATGATGTGTACAGTGGTACTTGGCTGTTTACGTTGTAGTTCTAAGCCTTTGTGCTAAACATTCAGCAAAGCACAAAATATGGTTTTAGGATTTATTTTAAACCAATGCCATCAATAGTTGTATAGGTATCCTACAAATGGTTTCCATCTATCACTAGAAACTCTTGTCTGGGCCTGAAGTCTTCTGCACATGAGTCAAATCCCATAATTCCAGCCAGTGCTGGAAACTCCATGTTAGACCTAAAGTCTTCTGCACATGCACGGACAAATCCCTTCCATTCCTATCATGCATTGGTATGTAGCCAGACAACATGAACTGAGTGGGCTTGGCTTAATCATAGATGACCTCTGCAATTCCAGTGTTGTGGGTGAAATGCGCCAGAGGTGGTGGTGGTGGTTCCGGGTGGTGACTGTTCATGATGTTCAGATAAGTTGCCAGCATTTTAACTTTCCTAGGAGTGCAGCTGGGCTTTTCCTTTTGGATTTGTTCTATTCAGTGATTGTAAGGAAAGCCCTGTGTGAGCTACGAGTCACCGGAGGTGTAGCTTACACAGGGCTATGGACAGCACGGATTGGTTCCTGGTGTTGAAGTGGGGTTAAGTATATGTTTCTGAGGATGGGGGATTGAAGGTCTGTTGCTTTGGCTTGAATGGACAAAGCACAAATTTGCTTTAGGCCTGTCTAAAGTGTCAGAGTAAGCCAAAAAATTCTGAATGACACCCAACTACACTAACTGCTTCTCTCTTAGGTGACAGAGCAAGACGTTCTCCCCGTAAACTGCCTGCAAGCTTCAAAAAAGAGGAGAAAAAATGGGTACCGCCTAAATTCCTACCACACAAATATGACGTTAAATTGCTGAATGAAGATAAGGTGAGAGATGCTACCTTTTCTTCCACCAAGTTTATTAGTAGCTTTTGTCATCCTCGGAAATGTTTAGTTGCAGTTGTTAGGCTTTCCAACATCACAGACCTCTTCTTAGTTAGGACAATCATAATTGGAATTGTGACTCGCTGGTTGTTTTGGGGGAAAAAATCAATACAAAACTATTTGGAAAGTGTTTTTTTAATGACAGTGTTGACTTTTATCCTTTTTGTATTCTAGGTTTGGATCTATAACTGATTGTCTGATTCTTAGACATGTTTGTTATAGGAACAATCAAGGTGGTTGATTTTTTTCTTAAGGCGTTGAGAATCTTCATTCAATAAATTGAATATTCACTGCAATTATGCAGTAATGTGACATGAATATTCCTGTTTATTTTCTCTGCGCATGATTGGGTATTTAAAGTGAACAGGAATTTTACTTTTCACATGATTGGATAATTAATGTGAATATTAACTAAACGGAGTAAAGATTCTTAACTCTCTTAGTAAATCAGCTTCTGTTTTAACAATCTTCTGCTATATTTTGTTTACCCAACTGCACATCATGTGTCCTGAACACCTTTTATAATCTAAATAATTGGGCTTAATATGTTAACCTGATTTTTCCCTCTTTAATCAGGTCATCAGCGTGGTTCCTGTAGAAAGTCTGTATCGCTCAGAGCGCCCTCCCAACAAAGAGATACTTCGCTACTTCATCCGTCATAATTCTTTGCGGCTAGGCACAGGGGAGAATGCTCCATGGGTTGTTGAGGATGACCTGGTTAAGAAATACTCATTGCCCAGCAAGTTCAGTGACTTTTTACTGGATCCGTATAAAGTAAGTTGCTATTAATGACATTTTTTTTCTGGTTCTGGAAGGCAGCTTTTCACAGTAAGTGTTGAGGTACATGGCATGCTATGTATGTGAATGGACATTTGAAAATTGAAATTAATGGTAACTGTAAATGAGTGTTGTGCTGAAGTGTGCAAGCAGAGTTTTTTTTGTTTGTTTTATTTTCCTCACTTTACTCTTTAAGTAAGAATCAAGGTTTTGTGGTTTGCTTTCTTTATTTTCTGTTTAAACCTTGTTCCTGATCATAGGACAGATGTATTTATGGTGTTTGGCTCCTAGTGACTGACTCCCATCATAGAAATCAGAAATGGCAGGGCAGCTTCTAATTTCAGCAGTGTGATTAGGAGCTGTTACGTAGCATTTCTGATCATCTAGTGATTGTACGTAGTGCTTTTATTGTTTACATCCCAACGTAGTGCCTTACTGGTTTTGCTGAATTGTACAGTACAATTCCATAATTTTTTTGCCATTATGCGAGTCTTGACATGCAAATTGTATTTTTCCCCCCCCCCTTTTTTTAGTACATGACTGCAAATCCAACACCCGCAACAAAGAGGAAGAGTTCAGGATCTCCTGATCAGAAACCAAAAAAAGCCAAGACTGATGGTGACAAATCTGCTCAAAAAGGCAAGAAATCTCCTCTCAGCCCTAGTTTATTTTGCCAGCTGAACCTAAAAAAAGTAGTGCTGGGCTCACCTTTAAAACTAAAGGATTTGGAAGGAAAATGTTCACCAGAGGAACTGCAAAAGTTGTTGAAACTCATGAGTCCTAACAAGAAAGGAAAAAAGAAAAGTGGAAAGTCTCAGGTCATCAATGGACAGAAGGTATCTGGTAAAGCTCGCTCACCTAAGAAGAATTCTAAAATGAAGCAGATGACATTGCTGGATATGGCTAAGGCTTCTCCTAAAGCATCTCGACCTAGGAGTGCCTCATCTACCCCCAAATCCGCTAGCAAGCCTCAAAAGCGGCTTCCTGCTGCTGCTTTGCATTTGATTTCCTACTACCGTGATAACAAGAATCGCGAAGATCGAAAGAGCCCTCTATCTGCTCTCATCTCTAAGGTGGCAAGGCTTCTTACTGATGAAGAACGCAGTAGACTGCCTGATGAGCTAAAAGAACTGGTACAGAAGCGTTATGAGCATTTGGAGGAACGCAAACGCTGGGCTATGATGACTGATGCAGAGAAGGAGGACCACATGAGAAAGAAGAGGGAAGCATTAAGAGCACGGCTTAAGGAAAAAGCTCGGGAACGAAAGCAAAAAGAGAAGCAAGAAAGATTAGAGAAGCAAAAGAGATTTGAGGACCAGGATTTGGCTGGCAAGAATTTGCCATCTTTCAAGTTGGTAGACACTCCAGAAGGGCTACCTAATGCTTTGTTTGGTGATGTAGCAATGGTGGCAGAGTTTCTAAGCTGTTACTCTGACCTGTTACTTCCAGATGGTCAGTACCCAGTGACTGCCATTTCTCTTATGGATGCCCTCGCTGCTGAAAAGGGTGGTTTTCTTTATCTTAACAGAGTGCTTGTTGTGCTGCTACAAACTCTCTTACAAGATGAGATTGCTGAGGATTATGGTGAGCTTGGCATGAAGCTGTCTGAGATTCCACTCACCATGCATTCTGCTTCAGAGCTTGTTCGTTTGTGCCTCAGAAAATCTGATGCTCCCGCTGGAGAAAGTGACTGTACGGAGAAGGGGGATGATGAAAGCGAGGGATCTGCTGTTTTCCAGGATGACGAAGTAGAAGATGAATTCCTGGAGAAATTGGAAACATCAGAGTTTTTTGACTTGACAACAGAGGAAAAGCTTCACATCCTCACTGCTCTTTGTCACCGCATCCTCATGACTTACTCTGTACAGGACCATGTGGATCAGAAGCAGCACAGGTCAGGTGAGCTCTGGAAGGAGAGGTTAGCCATGCTAAAAGAAGAAAATGATAAAAAGCGGGCAGCGAAGCAAAAAAGGAAAGAATTGGAGGCCAAGGGTAAAGAGGAAGGGGTAGCTCCCAAACAACTTGTTAAGAAAGTTGATAAAGTAAATAAAACCGATCCAGCACCAGCAGAGCAAGAACCTGAGGACATGATCAGTGCTGTGAAGAGTAGGAGGCTGCAAGCTATACAAGCCAAAAAAGAAAAGGAGCAAAATGAAAAACTTTCCAAAGGTAAGAATTTGGTTGCGTTATATAATCTAATTTTCCGAATTGTCTATTTTTAGATGTCTCAATATAATCCATTTTTTGGTACTGCCAGGCTCCTTTTTACATTGCCTTTTATAAAGCTAAAGGTGACTTTTCTTTGTGCGTGGCACTACAACTCAAGGTTAATAGTAACACACTTGCATAATTGCTAATACGATTTTAAACGGGTATGACCAACAGATGTCAGTCATATGCATTTTTAAAGTGTACTTCCACTTTTGTAATCAAATAAAAAAAAGAATACCCCACTATATTTTCCTATTTGCACAACATACCCAACAATGTTTAAAAATACAGTTTTCCTTTTTAGGTTTTTATTTGGTGAACGCTTTGTGCAGATTCCAAGCTACTCTGAGCAATTTTAAAGTGAAAGTAGATGGTCTGACCTGAGGGTCAGGCTGAGCTTCCTCAACACCTTTCAACTCCTTTCAACTCTTTTGTTAGGACAGACGTTGAAATCTAGTTTACAACTGATAATGAAATCTGTCAGCCCAGTATAGACAGGGTTAATTAAAGTAAACGTAACTTCGCATAGCCACCTCAACATTACACGGGGAAAGGCTAGTTTTGTATTTTTAAGCAGGTAAAAAGTGCTTAAAAATGTAAGTAGCGATTTTTGTTGCAAGTTCTGCAATATGGGAACATGTAACACACCTAAAGTAGGTATAATCTAAATTTTTGAGGTGACGTTGTCACTCATTTGCTCCCTACTCCAGATGGTGCAATGGTTTTTAACTCGTGACTCATTTCACTTGGCTGGAGCCAGTTTGTTCTGTAGATTAGGACTAAATAATACACAAATGCATGAGGGATTAAGCCCATCCCTAAATAACACTTGTGCATGGCTGGCTCGGCATGTTTAGTCATTGGATATTGCCTTACAGCACCACTGCTACTTGGGGTTTTGTTCTAGTGCACTTCTTCTGACATTTTTATATCACATTACTAACCTTCTACTTAACAATTAATTTGCAGAAAGATTCCAGAAAGAGGCAGAAGAGGAGAGAATACGCAAACAGAAAGCTTCTGCAGAGAAAGCTTTCCATGAAGGGATTGCAAAAGCAAAGGAAGTGCTGAGAAGATCGCCCATTGGCACAGACCGAAATCACAATAGGTAAATTTAGCCCTTCGAAGTCGTCTTTGCACCTTCACCCTGCAGCTGGACAATAAAAAGAGAACACAGACTGATGAGCTCATCTTCCGCTCTCTCTGAGCTGTCACTCCGCTCTCTCTCTCGTCAGCCTGCTCCTTTCACTGCAGCACAACTGATTGAATGCTTGTGCTGCTCTCCCTCTTCCTGTCTTTTTTAGATGACCATGTTAAACAATTCTGGATGTAAACATCTATTTATTTTATTTTCTCATTCATTGAGAGACACAGGATGTCTTATATATATTGTGGGGTTGGACCTCAACAAAAAAGGGAGGGGAACCCCTCCTATTCCCAGCATCCAGGGAATTTAACTTTTTTTTTTTTCCCCATGCTCTGCTGAGAAGTTGTAACTCCCCCCCGCTGGACTCTGCATTGTTGCTTTTTCCAGACCTGCATGTAATGGCAAGTTTGCTTCTGAGTACAGTCAGGGTCCAAAGCTGTGGCATGACCATCTCTAAAAACTCACTTTTGTTAGTAGACCATGAGGGCTGAGCACCAGGAGCTCTCATTACTAAAGCTGACCATACACTGCTCTTATTATTATTATTATTATTATTCCTTAACCAGCAGGCTGAGCGATATTAATAAAGCAGATTCCTCCATCAATGCTAAAATTACATTGATCGAGGAATCCCTGTTCCCTTTTTGTATTCTGAGAGCGGACGGCTGACTATGAAGTGTTCCAAGACCTGTATCATAGGTGGGGAATGCCGGATGTGGACCTCTTGTCGTCCAGATTCAACTGCAAACTGGACAGGTTCATCTCCAAGTACAGGCATCCTCTAGTGAAGCAGTGAATGCTCTAGTGGCTCCATGGGATCTTTACTCCCCAATCTACACTACAACATTTTCTTGGAGTCCATAGAGGATAAGAGGATAGATTATGCTCTTAGTACTACATTACCAGAAATTTGAGGCATGCTGGGAGTAGGAGGGGTTATCGTTGGGCTTTCTGCAATTTGTGTTTGCCAGTGTCCAGCCTTCATGTAGGCAGCAATATAACCCGACAGTATACAACTGTCTCCTAGTGGACTTTGGAGTCATAGTACATAGCTCACCTGATTTTGGGCACAGGCATTAATTGTACTCTTTCACCCCCTCCCTCCCCCCCACCCCCCCACAATTACATGGTTACATATACTGCACCATTCCAGATTAGCTGTTCAAGGTATGGGTGCTTTTTATTTCTTTATCCTTTTGTTTGTATAATGTGGTTATACCCACCCAGTCTTGCTCATGTGTACTATGCTCGTGATCTTCTGTGTACGCCACTGTTCATTTTCGCAATTAACTACCTTCTTAACAGGTATTGGCTGTTCTCAGATGGTGTTCCAGGACTGTTCATTGAGAAGGGCTGGGTACATGACAGTATTAATTACAGCTTTAGTCTTCCTGAGGAAGAGGAGGAGGAAGAAGCGGATGAGGGTAAGAGATTTCACTTGTACATGGCTCCAACAGTCTGTTTGTTACGGCCAGGACCATAATGATCTTGCTTTTAAATATCTCCTTCGTGCTGGCACTGCAGTGGTGGTTCCTTTTTTTTTTTTTTTACCATTTTGTACTATCAATATCATGTATTTAAAGTATCATTTTATATCTGCAGCATTTTTTTTTCCATCTCTTATTATTTTTTATTTTTTTTAAACTATTTAGGTAACACAGATAGTGAAGATGCAGACAGCAGTGTTGGTGGGCCAGATGATTCCATGCAGAAGGAGGAGAAAGTGGTAGAGAGCACAGTGCCTAAACAAGGGCAGAATCTCTGGTGAGTTATAGTCCTTCAATCTGAGACTCAGTGTTGAATTGTATAACAAATGCACCATCTTCTTACTACTGTTGCTGGTTCACGTCAGCAAGAGAGACTGAATAGGGATTGGCTGAGATTAGTTGGCCACTGTAGTTTGAGAAATTAGAATAGTATTTCACAGACTGCAAAACTAGCTTATAACTCAGTTCCAGCATCTGTGCAAAACTAAAATATCAATACTTTGTTCTGCTTTTCTGAAAATCTGTTCTCCGCTTGTCACACTTATTTTATTGTGTAGTGGTCCAATACTTTTATTGTTACTTTAAACAGGGATGGCCAAACTCCGGCCCTCCAGCTATGGTGAAACAACAAATCCCATGAAGCATCTCTATCCGGGAGTCATGTCTGTGGCTGTGAGACTCTTGCAAAGCCTCATGGGATTCGTAGTTCCACCACAGCTGGAGGGCCGCAGTCTGGCCATCCCTGCTTTAGTAAGTGGTTTGATAAATGTGCTTGCATTCTACAGTTAACTCCTTTTATTCACTCTTTCTATGCATTTTAGTTAGTATATGATACTGTCTTGATGTTCTCAGAGTTGTATGGTCCCAAAAAAAAGTGCCGAAGCGAAAAAAATAGAACTGTCAGATATATAAAATCTAAAATAGTCATACTTATGTTTGAAGCTGTATACTCTGGTGTGGTCATCTCTTACTGTTCCCTCGTTTTTAGGCAGTTATTGACCTGGAACAAGTAAACTTGTTCCTGGTCGGTGATCCTGCATGTTTTGCTGGAAAGATGCAAATGACACATCCTTGAGGTTGCACTTTCAAAAACAATGTATAGTGCTCAGAAACAAGTCTGCAATGGCAGTTAATATTTCCGTTTTGATATGTTCCTTTGAAGCTCAACAAGATGTACATGCCTAATTTATGTATCATACTATAGGTAGTAGCACGATATTCAAGGAATAAAATTAAGGCATTTTTTTTTTCACTTGGGTGCCTAGATGTGGTTTTGACCCCTGCTAAGCACCCCACTCCCCACTCCCCCCTCCACATTGACTGGGCAGGATGAGTGTGCACAGCCGCAAAGCTTGGAACAAATCACTGAGCAAGGCACTCTGTATACATACTTTGGGTTGATGGTGACTGTTCACTTTTGATTTGATGGCCAAATGCTTCCCAAAATACAAGGGTGTTAATGCTCTCATGGATCCAATGCCTGTGAGAATGATGCCCAATATCTGAAATTGCTTAAACATATGTTCTTGATTCACTCAGGTTCCTATGTGATACACAGAAGGAGTTGGATGAGCTTCTAGACTCTCTACATCCTCAGGGCTTTCGGGAGAGCCAACTAAAGGAGAGACTACAGAAAAGGTTTGTAATCAAATTAATTCCTTCCTGTGGTCTACCATTGAATATAAAACAATGACCCATCAGTGCTAGTTGGGTGGTAACAGATACACTAAAGCAGAGTCTCCAAATACCATGTGGCCTGCAGCCAGCTGACAAGTCAGGCACACAGTTAGGGACCGCGTACCTGACTTGGGGGAGCAGCTGCATGGTCTGCATCCCTTTTAGGATGCAGACTGAATAGCTGCTCCTTGCAGTACCGGCACTCAGTTCCTTTCGGCCGGTGCTCTGACAGCCTTCACTGAGCACTATCCGAAAGGATGGATTGGTATTGCCTGCAACAGCCAAAGGTGCAGACCTTACTAATCAACCACTGGATCCCCAGGGATTGTGCCTCCTCACCACCTACCTGCAAAAATGTGTATTTCTGTGTGTGCGTTTTTTCTCTGTGTGGGTGTGTATTTTGTATTTCTGTATGTGTGATTGTAATGTGGCAGTGAATCTGTTGGTCTTCTGATTAAAAATTAAAACCTGTAGGGAAACAAAATGCCTATACTGACACTGCACACATATACACATACTGATATCACAGACTCGCACACCATCACTCACAAAAATCCTGACAATACACACCCAACACAAAAAAATATATACTGACATTGCATACAAATAGGCCATAACACTTATACTGACATTCTAAACACGCAGACATTAATGTTGGTACCCTATATAGTTACATTTCATTTTGACGTTCTTAAATTTTATGAAAATTGTCAAGTGGCCCCCATGGGTGAAGAAAATTTGCCCAGTGGCTCCCAAGTAAATTTAAGGCCCCCTTCACTAAAGCAAAATTATAGCAATGCAGCCCTATTTGTAGGCACTAGATGGCGCTAAATATGTTCTGCAAGCTGCTTCGCTTGTACAATGATTTGTTTGTACAATAGCATTAGCCATGTTCAGAAAACAAACTTTTTGCTTCAGGATATAAAGGACTCGTTCACACTATGTGCACATCACCAGGACAGTAAAGCTTTCACTTTGACACCCCAGTGCGCCCGCAATGTAAGGTGCCCATTGCACATAACAAACCTAGTGCTTTGTGATTTGCAGTCATAAAATATTGTTTGTCCAACTTTGGCTCAGTTGCTATGTGTTGGCAGCCAGTTCAAATAAATAAGCTGCTTTAAAACAAGGCAATTTAATAATGTGCATGGCCTTTAAAAGTGAGTCTGCCTTTTAATTGTAATGTATAGCAAACATTTAATACAGTCACTCCAAGATGCCTTTTCATAGCTTTAGTCCTTGTCTAGTGTGACACTGAAACCACCAAATTTGGGTTGCTAGATTAATCAAATGCAGGCTCTCCCCTTGTGCTCAGGCCTGCTGAGGAAAATGATTATGGTTTATTTCCCTCCTCCTCCCTGGATATTGATAGCCACTTTCATTTCATGCAAGGAGCAGCATCGCTAGTGAAAATTATGCAGCGGCCAGGCATTGGTGACACTTGTCTAGGTGCCTTGGGTGTGTTAAGTTTCAGGGACATAGCACATAGACTCAGCTTACTGTGCTATATCATTGGCACAGAAGCTGGGCTCTGATAGATTTACTATTTGGAAGGGCTGCTGGGTGGAGCAATCTGGTATTGTGACCAGCAATGCAGCTGGGTACTGTTGCTGCTATTTAGTGGTTCAGTGAGCTTCCCTCAGTGTTTTTCATGCTTTCTGTACTACTTTCCTACTTTTCACCTTTTGATGAACTGGAGCTGGACAGATGGACTGAAGAGTGAGGTTGAGGTGAGAAGCTGAAACTTTCTGAGATGGAAAGGAAATTCAAGGCCTCAATACCACCTTTGTCCTTGTTAAAGACCAGAAAGGGTTCTTTTTAAGTATAGGGCTACCAGCTGAGAAACCTGCAGAGGTAATATTCACAAGGTTGCATTCCTTGTTCCTGAGAGTGGAAAGAGGAAAATCCCTGATGTCAGACTTCATGGTTTCGATGCTGTATTTCCAGGCCCAAAAGAAGATCTTTAGCGCCCTCAAAATGGGGTGGATGCCTCCTTTGAGTTTGGGGGGTGAGTCTAACGCCTGGAACTGTTCTGCCACATGGACTATGGGAAATGAGCTCTTATGGTCTTAACACATTGAAGGGAATTTATCAAAAGTGGAGCAGACAAAATCTGGAGCAGCTGTGCACAGCAACCAATCGGCCTCTTCATTTTCAAATCTTAACTGAACAAATTGGAGAGAAGCTGATTGGTTGCCATGCAGAGCTGCTCCAGATTTTGTCTGCTCCAGCGTTGATAAATTCCCTTCATTGGGTCTCGAGACAGGACAAGTGCTGAGATAATACCAGGGCTCTGGTCTTAGAAAGTTCTCCACAGCTAACTTTTACTAGTACATGAAGGTCTGGCAAGTGCTACAATGGAAAACCCAGTGCCACAGGTCACATTTTAGGCTACCCTGAATTGTACAGTTTAGTGAGGTCTGAGTATGGCACGCTTAAGTCAACCTGTGAAAAGGTAGCTGCATATGAAGACAAGCGAAGTAGCAGAGAGAGGTTACTTTTCTCCACAAAGCTGAGAAGTTGTCGACTACCCTAGGACCCTAGGCATGCTGAAAGTAGGAGGGCTGGCCTACAGATTTTGTTTGCCAGTGTTCAGTTCTGAAGGCAGCAGTATAACCAAACAGTACAAAGTTCTGTATCCCTCATTGGATGAGAGAGAAAATGATTCCTTGGCTGCAATGCTGAAGTAATACCTTTTTTTAGTACTTTTTCAGTATGCAGGTAGGTTGTTTTTTCACTTACCTGGACCAAACAATCAGATTCGTAATTAAATTATTGAAGCAATTCACAGCTAGGCAACTAGCCAGAGTGTTCTAGTACAGGTTTCCTGTAATTCTGTCACCAGACCAAACTTGATATTTTTATTTTTTTATGTGCAGCATGAATGCATTTCCCTATTATGTGCCAATTTGATTTAATCCGGCTTTTGTGTGCAGATATCAAGACATCGCACATTCCATACACCTTGCTCGCAAGCAGAACTTGGGTCTGAAGATATGCGATGGACACCAGGAATTACTGAATTTCTTGAGGAGTGATATTGTTGAGGTTGCCACACGGTTGCAGAAAGGAGGCTTAGGTTATCTGGATGATGCTACAGAATTTGAAACCAGGGTAAGGATCAGCAGTGGTATTGTATGTTCTTAGAAATGGAGCTTATGTCGCTGTTGCCGCAGATCTTAATTCTAACATTTTATTTTTGACAGGTTCGTTCTCTGGATAATCTAAAAGATTTTGGTGAGTGTATCATATTTCTCCAGGCCGCTGTCATTAAGAAGTTCCTGCAGGGTTTTATGGCTCCTAAGCAGAAAAAACGTAAACATCAGTCAGAAGAGGCAGCAGCCAAAGCAGAGGAGCAGGATGAGGAGAAGAGGATGGCAGAGGAAGCCAAGGTACTCCTTTTTTTTTAAATATTATTTTTGTGATGCAGCTTTGTCGACCAGACATTTCAAGTATTACATAACCAGTTGTAGAAGAGGTGATATACAGTATTTTTCTTGACTATTCTGCTACAGGCTCCCTTCAGCAGTAGATTAGTGTCGTAAAGGCAGCCTATTTGAGCTAGGGTTGCTATCTTGATTTTTAAAAGCTGTGTGCTTGCGCATGGTCTCTGGACTTGTCTTCCCTATCTATGCTTCATTACTTTATAAGCCACTAACTTGAGAGAAGCATGTGTATCAAATGTCTTGACACAAGTAAGGGCAAGCCTCGGAACATTAGCCTTCGCAGGCAAGTCTGCTTTGGCAGTTCCCGTTGCTCTTTTCTCGAATTGAAAAGCACCCACTTGCCTGGACCTTCATACAAATGTTTAGCGATGAAGGGAGCCTGGAGCATTAATTTATCAAGAAAAGGTAGGGATCTTGGCAGTCTTTACATTTGATACCTTTTAGCAAGCCTCTCGGTATAGCTTTGTGATATCACGTTTGACATAGTTCAGGGGTAGGCTACCTTGACACTCCAGCTGTTGTTTAACTACAAATCCTATGAGGCAGTGCACTGACTGACAGGCATGACCCCAGAGGCATGATGGTATTTGTACTTTCACCTCAGTTGGAGGGCTGACGTTTGCTACCCCTGATGTGGCTCCTAATGTAGATCTGAGAGTGCCAGCATCTCTGCTGAGCAGAGTCACTGAATGTTGAGCTACCAGAATAATTTCTACTAACCGTTGAAGACTGGTCAATTTACTTTAAAATAAGCTCATGGCTTCTATTAACGCTGTGAACTTTTCCACCTTTGACTGCCCAGCCATAATCATTGACGGCTGCAATGGTTAAAGGTAATCCCACCAAAACATGGTGTTCTATTAGTAGAATTCAATGCCGTCTGGTTGCTATATGTAGACATTTTGTTTGCCCAATGCTGTTTTGTATAAAGAACCCCCTGAGGCACATCTCCCTTGTTCTGGGCTCCGTCTGCTGTTTTGTCCCTGATAGGAATTGTTTGTTGCATAGCAACAGCTCTATCTTGTCTATGTAATATGAAATGTTGGAATCTTACACTAGTCTGTGGCCTAGTATTGTGTACTGTAAAATGTATTTATTTTTTCTTCCATTTTCTTAGAAGTTGAACATTTCTTACATTAGAATCTTCTGTTGAATTTCTTAAATGTTGTGGAAAGTACTCTCGTGTATTGCCTTGCATTAAATATTTGCGCTTTTGAATGTTGTGATGTGGTGCCAGCGCACGGCTGCCAGGTTTTCCATTTTTTTGTCAGGGTGCTTTTTGTCTCTTATCCCTGCACAGCATAAATTGTGTGTGGCCATTTTTAGAGGCCTTTGAATATGCGCCAGACATTTTTTAATTCTGACATCTGTCTCGTTGCACAAAGCGCAAATAGCATTTGTTAGTGTTTGGCTGCGTGTTCCCCTTTTATGGCCATCGTTTGGGCATTCTTTATTGGCAGCAGTATTTAGACACGTGTTGCTAAATGAAATATACACGTGGTGGCAGCAGAGTATTAATCAACAATTTGATATTTGGCACTCACTGAGTTGGGGGGTTTTCCCACTATAGAAATGGTAAAGGTGGGTTTTGTTTTTTTACTTTGGATTTGGAAGCTTAAAATTTGTATGACAGGATTAATGTACAATAAATGCCTGCTGTATAAAATGTGACAGCATGAGGAATGAGCGCTGCGGTACAGGAAGAATATTATTAAAGTTGATGTTAAACACATTGTTTCAAGCAGACATTTAATCAGCTAGAAGTGATGTGCTTCTATTTTACAGGAAAGGTTTAAGCATCGGGACAGTGGTTTTCTCTCAAGTAGCTGTTGTTTTAGTACAGTGTCCATGTTCATTGCTTGCATGGTTGACCTTGAGTGAATGTGACAGGTTGTCTCTCCCTATGCTTTGCAAGCATTTCACTTTTAAATAGCAATGTATAAGAAGGAAAAAAAACAAGTAAAAAAGATTTATACTTTGTGAAGAACATGGAACGACTTTCCCTATATATCTTCTGAATGTTTTTCTTTCTTAAAGGAGAACTATGAGGTGAGTGCTTTGAGTGCTTTTCACTCATCCTCATAGTTCTAGCCGACCTGTGACAATGAGACTGTCACAGGTCGGCTCAGTAGATCGGGAAGTGAGCGAACACATACCGGCGCTCGCTCACTTCTCGATCCCCCTCCCCTGTCCGATCCTCCAGCGCTGACTGGCGGAATGGGAGGGGGCAGGTTCAGCTGGCTCTGCCTCTGGATAGGCAGTGCCAGCTGTCACTCACGCAGGTGGGTGGGTCCAGATATAATTGTCAGGATCCGTTTCAGCTGAGGCTTCTCAGCATACCGTGAGCTGAGCTTTGGGTGACGGGAGGACGCTAGTTTGTGTCCTCCCGTTACCCTTAGAACTAAAAAAAAAGCCCTGACCCCATAGTTCTCCTTTTTAAGGTGATGTGTTCTGTGGGTTTACTTGATATTTGTATGAGCAAGCTGCTCTGCTGATAATTTTGTTGGCGAGTTAGGGCAGTGAATTAAAATGGAGAATATTATCAGTTTAATATGATGCATGTAACTGGGGAATAATGAGGGCAGATTAATGATGTGTATATGACTGGGATAGGTGTGATATGCAGAAGCCCATCTAGCTCCTATGTGGGTCTGATCATGGTACTTCTCAAAAGATATGAGCTCTGTAGAGTAATGCATTAATATTGAGGTGTTCCTAGTACTTTTGTACTACCGTTTCTATGGGCAGGTTTAATGAGAATGTCTCCGGGAAATAATTTATGGGTCTTTCATACTTTCTCCTTGTAGACAATGATGATCCCTTGCCAACAATTAGTTTGCATATGTCCAGGACTGATCTGTCCATGCTTATCCATACTCTTTAGACTGGTTTTCAAGCTTGAGTAAAGCAGCTCTTGACCATCTCAGTTCTTGGCGCTGTCCTGCCATTTTTTTTTTTTTTTATTGGATGTGGTTTACTGGCAAGGAAACCCATTGCTTTCTGCCAACAAAACTGTTCAGATTTGATTTTCTAGATCTGATTATTTAAATGAGATGGTGTTTTAATACAGATTGATTAGGTTGTCAGTGGCAAAATAGGACACAGCAAGCCCAATTGGCAAAACAGATCCAGGAGGGTCACACCAGAGAAGGGTTTTTTTCCTTTTCACCCTAGGATGTCAGAGGGAACTTGCCACACATTCATAATACATGGCTTACTGTACACGCACTGCAACACATTGGTAGGAATGTAGCCTATATCACTGAGACTGCATCGGACTCTGCTGGCCTATTCTTGAACTTCTCTTCTGCATTAGATGCTCCTGCCAGGAGACCACTGCAGTTTCATGTCAGTCATGGATCAGCACCACATAGGCTTCTCAATCCAGCATCCATGCCAAGGACTTCAATGAGATTGTTTAATCATACATGACAGAATACCATGATTGCATTGAATTGGTATTCAAATGCACATGTAAACTGATGTGACATTCATATCTTTACCTGTCCTTATGGTTGGTGTATGGTTTATTTACTTATCCAGGCTCATTACACTTTTTCCTTTTGCAGATTGCCTCAGCTGTAGAAAAATGGAAGACTGCTATCCGAGAGGCCCAGACATTCTCACGTGTGCATGTGCTTTTGGGTATGCTGGATGCCTGCATTAAGTGGGATATGTCTTCAGAAAATGCCCGCTGCAAAGTATGTCGCAAAAAAGGTATGGATGGAAGACATCTGATTTTATCGTATAGTGCCGTAAACCCTTTGATAACCTATTATTATTATTATTAGTATTATTATTAGTATTATTATTAGTATTATTATTATTATTTTCTTTTATTTTTTCCATAAAATTACTTATTTTTTAATGCAGTTGAGTGGGAATCTTATGGCATAGCCTTTATTTTCTAGGTCAAGCTTTAAGCTCGTCTGTATTTTATGGCTTTTCTCTCCCCTCTACAGGCGAGGATGACAAGCTGATCCTGTGCGACGAGTGTAACAAGGCATTCCATCTGTTCTGTCTGCGACCCGTTCTCTTGAACATACCAGATGGTGAATGGCTCTGTCCTGCTTGCCAGCCATCAACTCTTAGACGCAGTTCTCGGGGCAGGTAAGGATAAAGAAGACAAAATCTCAAGCAGTTGTCCATGGCTACCAATCAGCTTCATTTAGGCCTATAAAATGAAATGGAACAGACTGAAGAAAGAAGCTGATTACTATTGGCAACTGTTCCAGATTCTGTCTGCTCCAGTTTGATTCACCCAATTGCATTTTTTAATGTGAATAAAATCTTTTATAATTTTTGCTATGTTCTTTAAAGGAGTTATGCTGAAGAGTCCAGTCATGATGAAGAGGAGGAGGAAGAGGAAGAAGAGGAGGAGGAGGATGAAAATGACGATGATGAGTCAGGAAGTGACAATGAGCATGAAGGAAGGATCAGATGTGAGTAAACATGCTCTTTAATGAACATTTCTAAGTAATTAGAAATTTATAATTAGATTTTAGATTAGAATTAGATTTTTTCTTATTCATTCCCAACTAGTTTATTTTCCAAAGTAGCTATCCAGCGGGGAAGTCCTCAGTCTGGATTTTTTGAGCGCCATGTCTGCACCCAGCTTGACTGGGATTGCAGAGATCCCCTTAAGTGACCTTTTCTGCACAGGGTTCCATGTAGGGCTTTTTCCAGACTCCGCTCCAGTAACTGGTTTGCTGCGGAGCGCTTTTCAGGCCCAGAGCCGCTGGCATTGCCTCAGTGCTCGCCCTGTCTCTAAAGATTTTCTTTGATCAAGCCAGTTGGGCCAAGCATCAGGTAATAACTCAATTACATAGGTCGCCGGGTGTCATTTAAAATTCCTGGTTTCCTGCTGATTTGCAGCAGAAATGGTTAATGCTTTGGGACTGAGCACTGACACCATTTTCTGGGTGGAGTTTCACCTGCGCGCTTTCCTGTCATAGAGCGTTCAGGAAGAATGTGCCCGCTGCTGCTTCTTGCAAAGACCTTTCATCAATTCCTGCTATAAATATAAAGTGCACTGCGCTATTCAGTATATATGTGAGACTGAAATATACTTAACATATACCTCAATGTGCAAACAAAATCATCAATATTTAACATAAATCCATGATCGTATTCCATATTCAATAAGTGACCATCTTATCAAAGCTCTAAGATTCAACGTGATGTTCCTCTTTCCGTGACCGCTCTCCACCACCAATTTATCAAAAGTAATTGTCCATTTTATCCACATAAATAATGGTAAACAGTGATGTTTCTCTTTCCGTGATCAATATTTCAACACTTAACAGACAGCTCCAGTGAGTACCACCTGTGTCCGTGCTTATCCCTCTGTGCTCTTCCAAACACTAACGCTGTATCTTTGCTGTCTTAGGCTGGGTTCACACCTAGGCATATCGAATATACGTGTGTGACGCTCGTTTTTACCGCGATTCGCGGGGAAAAAAAAGTGCGACCAACTCTCTTCCTAGGGCCACCTGGCTGTATCCCAATGGAAACGCGCCACAAACGCCACAAAGAAGCTCCTGTACTTCTTTGGGCGTAGGATGTGTTGTAGCGTGTTCATACGGCCTGTAATATGCCCAGGTGTGAACCATACCCATAGGAAATAATGGGATTTCGTTGTTTGAGCGTTTTGCAGAGCGTTCGAACGCGCTACAAAACGCCCAGGTGTGAACCGGGCCTTAATCGTATCCAGCACAAACTCCACCACTAGCAGTTTCCACTACTCCTTTGTTCATCTACTCTCCAGAAAATCAATTAACGAACCCTCGCCACCATGAGATTAGACAAAATGCTCATAGTGTAGCAAATCCAAACAAGTAGTATCCGCTTACATTTAAGTATTAAAAAGCCGACAACTAGTCCTGTCCCGCATGCGTTGTGATTTCAGCAAACCCCGCCTTAACGCGCTTAGTCAGACATTTTCAAAAGGCTTTTGTCAAGTTGTCATTTGCTCTAGTTCCTGTTGCAGAAACGTTTCAAGGATTTTACCCTAACCCGTTCACCATTCAGGCTTTACAATGAATCATTGTTTTGCTTTGGGACTCCTACATTACTAGTTCATGGCACTGCTCTTCGGCCTCTTTGCACCTTGGATGTTCACAAAGTTTCTTACCTCAGTATGTGACAACGCCATAACCGTAGCTTACATTAATTTATTGGTGAGGCACCAGAAAACGTACAGCTTGAAGGGAAGCAGTCCTGATTCTTGCTTGGTCGGCCGTGCACATTCCAGGCATTGAAAATTGAAACGCGGACTACCTTGGGAATGTTTTCTACAATGTGGGGGTAG